TGTGTCAGAGTCTCGTCTGAGTTGAAAGTCCGTCCAGACAGAGGATTAGTACAACGTAAGTGCCCAGGTGAAGGGTGGAGGGGAAGGGGGAGGGGCATGTCAGTCCTGTCACCGTTCCAGGTACCTCTTGTGTCTTTAATTTTTCATTAACCTTCTGTAACAAGGCTTTTAATGAAGCTATTTTAGAGTCTTGAAGACTTTCGGAGGCTTCTGTACACAAATTAAAATAGGTGTCCACCTGTTTGTGGGACTTGGGAACACTTGCTCTGAAGTGCACCTCTGAAATGAACGATCTTATCTAACTGGAATGTTCCCCATGATGGCCACTGTAATTCTAGGTTGCTTTTAGTAAGATTTTGCCATTTTTGTCGATATTTATAGCTTCTGGGCCCATAGTGTTTAGATGTAAAATCAGCGGGTGTGGGCTTCCCTAGTGGTGCAGTGGTTGAGAGTCCGCCTGCCGATGCAGGGGACACGGGGTCGTGCCCCGGTGCGGGAAGATCCCACATGCCGCGGAGCAGCTGGGCCCGTGAGCCATGGCCACTGAGCCTGCGCGTCCGGAGCCTGTGCTCCGCAACGGGAGAGGCCACAGCGGTGAGAGGCCCCCATACCACAAAAAAAAAAAAAAAAAAAAAAAAAAATCAGCAGGTGTTTAGGAAGGCCGGGCACCTGACTGTTCAGAGTCCAAGGATCCCGTGAGCTGAGGCTTCAGGTCTCTTGGACCTCAAAGGGATGCCGCTGGGCTGGGGACGGTTCATGTGACGCGGTGGCCTTTGCTGCTGGGAAGTTTTCTTGAGGTTGGCAGGTGACCCAGAGTTGATGGAGCCCGTCCTGTGACCAGCTTATCCTGACATGCAGGTCCTTGGGTCTGATAACAGGTGCACTAACAGTATTTAAGAGTTCAACTCTTGTTCACCAAGGTTTGCAGCTTTTTGGCCTCTGAGACCCCCATTAGCAGTAGCTTTTATCTACACAAAAGAAGACAAATAAGTGTGTACACCTTAACACACAAGCAGCAACTGAGGGCTGTGACTGCGTCCTGGCCAAGAGAAGGCCCTGCGTGCACCCGTGCGACTGCCCGGGGAGCCGTGGCCTGGGGAGAGGGCTGGACCCACAGACCTCAGTGAGGGGGCCTGCAGACTGGGGGCTCCACACGGGGGGTGTTCCACACAAAAACCTGGGACGTGGGGTCTGAAAGCCCAGGGGCTTAGCTCCGGGCAGAACCGGCTGCCAGGGGACTTCCCCGGTGGTGCAGTGGTTAAGACTTCACCTTGCAATGTAGGGGGTGCAGGTTCGATCTCCGGTTTGGGAGCTAAGATCCCACATGCCTCAGGACCAAAAAACCGAAACAGAAAACAGAAGCAACGTTGTAACAAATTCAGTAAAGACTTTAAAAATGGTCCACATCAAAAAAATCTTTAAAAAAAGAACCGGCTGCCAGCATGAGCTGTCCTGCCCCGTAGGCCAATTAGACTGGGGGCTTGACACAGAGAGCAGAGCTCAGAACTGAGAGGGGATGTACCCACAGCCCCTGGAAGACAGTGAACTCAAAAAGGGGTTCACGGTACAGTGACTGCCTTTCTCCTTGTCACCAAAGCTGCTGGAAATTTCCTTTGATTCTACCACTGCCAGCAAATCTGTTAAATAACAAAAATTCATCTGGGTAAATTTGAGAATCTAATTGGCTTTATTAAGCGATTCATGAATCAGGCCACATCCCACCCAGCAATAGGAAGGAACTTCATTATAGCTGCAGAAAGGGAACAAGAGAAAGGAATTATTAGCAAAGAATGCATTTTTTAGGCAACGTTGCCCTCTTAGGAGAACGGAACAGGGTCTATCAGCAAATTTCCTCCTAGTGCTGGCCAGGAATTCCCGGTTGGCTGCTTAAATGTCACATTTCTGAGGAAGGTTGAAACGGCAATTAGGTCCTTTTCTCTGTGTCTTTCTGTGTGTAGGTTACAGGCCACTAGTTTACACAGACCACGAGACGCCCCCCCCCCACCCCGCAGGGCTCCGGCAAGCCTTCCCTTCTCCTAACTTCTTTCTCCAACAGCAAGAAGGTCAGTTCTCATCTACAAAGATTTACGTATTTGTTCAGTTCTCATGTACAGATAAAATAGTTCCAGAAGTCCTAGACCACAGCCCTGAGGAAAGGCCTGTTACCACGTATTCACCGGCAGCCCTTTTTGTCGTTAGCCTTTCGGCTTCCTGTCAAGTTCCTGTTACCACTCGACGTGGCTGGTTTTTCCTGCCCTGCCCTCCTTGGTGGAGTTCCTCCATCTGCACTAGACTCACTTCTGAGGCTCGGATCCCATTCTGGATGCTCCCCAGTCCTTATTGGTCCAAACTGCCTGTATACTTTTGGGGTATGTGAAGCATTGCTTTGGTTCCAGCAGTTGAATTTCCATAAAAAGATGCACTCAGTGGGGTCCACACCACCCTGTGCGTCCCTTCCTCACCCACCTAGTAGGTAACCAGTCTCTTCGGTTTCTGGTTTACGCTTCCTGTGTCTTTTTCCACAAATGAGCAGACGCGTATCATCTTCCTTCTTAAAAGAAAGGGGGCACTATAGGTGATCTGCTGTCCTTTTTCGCTTCACGGAATGCGGCCTGGGAACCACACCCCCTCCATTTAGAGTGACCCTCCTCCTCCTTCAGGGCCTGCGCGCCAGTCTGGACGCGCCTGTTTATCCTACCGCTCTCTTAAGTATAGACATTTAAGTTGCTTCTAATGTTTTGTGATTAAACAATGTTGCAGTGAATCCCCTTGTGCACATGTATTTCGCATTTTATAAACATTGCTGCAATGAATCCCCTTTGCATATCTATTTCCCATTGTTTGAGGTGCATCTCCAGGGTAGATTCCTGAAAACAAGGGCTGCTTGGTGAAGGCTAAGTGCATATATATTTTTGTCAGGTCTCACCCAATTTCTCTTCAGGATTTACCATTTGTGGTCCCCCCCAGCGATATATGAGTGTGCTGCTTTCCCTGCAGCTTCAACAAAAGATCAGGTCATAATTTTAAATTTCTTGCCACTTTGATAGGTGAGAAGTGGGACCTCAGTCTTATATTAATTGCATTTCTTTAATGATGAGTGATTTCAATGTTTTTTCATATGTTTAGGTTTTTTTTTTTTAATATAAAGTTTCTGCTCGCGTATTTTCTCCATTTTCCCTATTCAGCTTTTTAAGACTTCTTGACATATTAGGGTTATTAGCCCCTTTTCTGGGTGTCTGTTCCGAATATTTTCTCCCAATTTGTCAGTTGCTTTTACTTTGTATATGGCATTTTTGTCACACAACTTTAAAAACTGTTTATGTAGTCAAATTGATTCACCTTTTGTTCTTGTCTGGTTATGTAAAAAACAAAGTTCGACTGAGCAAATCTGAACCTCTAACTGGCTTTCTTTGGTGATTCATGAATTGGCAGCGTCTCATCAACAAGTGCCAGGGCGCTCGGGGGAGCAGTACAAAATGGACGGCTTTATAGGAAGGAGGGTAGGGCCAGGACATCTCCTCCTGGGGAGCGGGGGGAGGCGGGACGGCAAGCTGCTCCTTCATCCTCCCGGGACGCAGAGGGACGCAGAGCAACCCCCGGGGCAGATCACCGCCTCGGTGCCGACCAGGAAGCTCCAGCCTGGTTGATTAAGATCGCATTTCTGGGGAAGGCTGAAATGCAGTTAAGTCGGGTAGAAGGCTAGGTTTGGTATCTTGGACTTTAGCACAAATGACCCCGTTTTGGGCCTGTGCTTTTCCCTTTACCAGTTAGAAGGACTTCCTTTACCCTGAGATCAAAGAGGGATTCACCCCTGTTTTCTTCCAGTGTTTGTGTGGTTTCAGAGTTCAGTCCATCTGTACCCCATGCACGAGCTTCCCACTGCGCTGGGCCTAGTCCTATTCCATTCCTGAGGTCTGTCTCTGCTGCCCCAGCACCACCCAGACCTGATTATGGGGAATTATGTTAACCACATTTTTCAGTGTTCTGGGTCCATCTTGTGTTATGACTCAGTCAGATGGCTATGTCGGTCAACTGGCTGTTTTTCTTTCAAGTCTCCACTTCCTGCTATGGGGGAGCTGCTCCCATTTCCTGGGGATCCTGGGGACGGGAGGGTGAGGCAGTGACAGTCCCAGCCCTTCTGCCCACTGGGCCTCCTCACCAAAGCCTGGGGTCCAGGCAGGGTCACGATTCCTGGCGCCCAGCCTCTCACAGTGCAGGAGGGGCAGGAAGCAACAGCCTGTGCTGTTTTGCCACCTGAAGTGACCACTGGCCAGACGGCCTCCTCCACGGTCTCTCCTTTTTCCCTCAAACAGCCCCAGTCTCTGCTGCTGGAGAGTCCTGGGTTTTTCCTGGAAAATCTCTGCGAAGTGGAGAGAACCATGTTCTAAATTGTGTGGTTTTAGATCTGGTGATGTGAAAATCATATTCAACCTAGTAACTCTTGGGCCTTTTTTTTTTTTTTTTTTTTTTTGCGGTACGCGGGCCTCTCACTGTTGTGGCCTCTCCCGCCGCGGAGCACAGGCTCCGGACGCGCAGGCTCAGTGGCCATGGCTCACGGGCCCAGCCGCTCCGTGGCATGTGGGATTTTCCCAGACCGGGGCACGAACCCGTGTCCCCTGCATCGGCAGGCGGACTCTCAGCCACTGCGCCACCAGGGAAGCCCAACTGATTTGTTTGAGATTGTTTTCCTTCCTAGTACTTGAGCTTGTTTGGACTTGAACTTAAGAATTTTAGTTCAATTCCTTTGAGGCTTATATTACTTCGGGAAAGGTTTAATTCTTGTACCGTAATTTCTCCTGGAATACTGGATATTGGGAAAAGATTTATACTCAAATTTGGGCTGTCACAGCGTCAGAGCCTCTATGCTGCCATTGACCCGAAAGTGTAATTTCTGCTGCACTGAACGGGGTTAAGGGTAACCTGGGTGGAAAGTAGGCACAATGCGAACTGGGGCCAGAATACAACGTGGAGTTAATCTGATATACAGACTGTTCGCGTCCATGTCGGGGTATAAAGGAGGCAAAAGCCCCCGGCCACCAGCAGCCCCAGGAGGGTACCCACAGGGCTGCTGTTTGCAGGGAGGCCTGGCCCCCGCCCTGAAGGATGAGGCTTCTGAGCGGGGAGGGGGCGGCAGCCTGGTGGTGGGCTTAGCCTCAGTTCTAATTGGTTAAGAGAACAAAGGCCAGGGCCTGGGGGGGGGCAGGGGGAGGGGTGGCTTGGGGGAAGGGGGCATTGCAGTAAAACCCAGGGTTGGAGGGTCCTTCTGTGAAGAATTGAAGGGTCTGAGATTTCACCCACCTTGCAAGCTGACAAGTGAACCCACCACAGTTTTAGAGTACATGGACCCTGGGTCAGAGAGAAAGGACACTTCCCTTCTCATAACAATTTCCAGGTGTCCCTCACAGGGGGTCTGGAGACCGGAGAGGGGGCCTGGGCAGCGGGAACCAGACACATCTACACCACACCGGCACCACCTCTGCCCCAAGGACGCCGCTCCCCTCACCAGCTAGCCCCTTGTCTAGGGAGTCAGGGTCCCCCTAATCCTCACTCCGCAGGCAAGTCTGCGGCTGGCCTGCGGGCTCGGGATCTAAGGTTCCGGGCAAGCTGGAGGGACTGCCGTCCCACCGGGGAGGTTGGGGCGGTCTCATCCCCAAGGCTCAGACCTGAGGGGAAATGTCAGGGCCCCAGCCGTGGCCGCTTTTCTAATCTGGGCTCTGTTCCAGCAGCGTCACAAGCTTCAGCAGAGGCGATGCCCCCTTTCCCCAACGCCCCCTTCCTCCGCAGGGTCTCCGCGCAGAGCGGAGCGCTCCCACAAACCCACCCACGTGTCTCTCTACTTTCACCATTTCTCGGACACAAAGCTCTGCCGACCGCAGGGCCCATCTGTCCCCAGTGCCCGCGCCCCTCCCGCTTCCGGCCGCAGCCCCTGCCTCCAGGCCTCCCGCGCTCCCCCGCCCCCGCGCGCCCCGTCACTTCGGGGAAATGGGAGGCTCGGAGGCTGCAACCAGGCCATCGCCCCGCACGCCCCGGGGTCCCCGCCCCAGTCCCTGCGCCCCGCGCCCCCACCCCCTCCCCCCCGCCCCGCTTGCCTCCGCCGCAGTCCCCGCCCCCGCGGCCAGGCCCCTCCCTCGGATTCTCCGCCTCTTACCGGGGCCTGCAGCGGTCGGGGGTCACGGGGCCCCCCCAGGGACCCTCTCGACAACCACAGTCCCGCCGGCGGCCCCCGGGGCGCACCAGGAAACGTGTCGGCCCCTCCGAAGACACCACCCGAGCCGTCCGGACGACTCTGGCCCGCTCGGCCGCTCGCCAGGCGCAGACCCTCACCTCCTACCCCGGCCCCACCGGCTCCCGGAGAGAGGCGCCCGGCGGCCCTGCGCCGAGCCCTCCGGCCGTGCGTGGGCCTGCGGCGCCACCTGGTGGCCGCGGGGACAGAACGCGGCTGCAGGGACAGCGAAGGGTAGGGGTGGGGGCGGCCGCCGGGAGAGGAGGCAGCGGGGACTCGCTGGACCCGGGTGCGGGGTCTTGTTTCAGCCCGCGGCTGCTGGCCCAGCGCAGATGGATTCCGACCGGCAGACACGGCCGGCGGAACGGTGGCTGGCCGAGCCCTGCTGCCGTGGGTCAGGGCCAGGGTCTGCGGGAGGGGACTGCTGATTTCCCCCAGGGAGCCGGCCAGGGAGGATGGACGCCCTCCCCCGCCAATGCGCTGGGGACCCACCGGGAGGAAGGACCAGGCCCTACCCTCATGAAGCTTAAAGCATATACATCAACTGTATCTCAGTTTGCCCCACTACTCCCACGCACCGCGCCGCTTGCGCTTGCGGGATCTTAGTTCCCAGACTGGGGCTTGAACCCCGGCGCTCCGCAGTGAAAGCGCGGAGTCCTAACCACTGGACCGCCAGGGGATTCCCTCTACCTCAATTTTTTTCATTAAAAAATACAAGTAAGCAGGATAATTTCAGGATTTGGTAAGGGCTAAGAAGCTCATAAAGCAGTGTGACGTACAAAATGCGATGAGACGCGAGGGAGTAAGGGCGAGGTCAGTGAGATACAAGGAGGAAATTCCCTAAGGGACAAGCCTAGGGGGACATTCTGGCCAGAGGAGACAGCCGTGCAAGGGCCCTGGGGCACAGAAGGGCTGTAGTCCCTCCAGTGACGCGAATCCAGAGAAGTGGTCAGACGCCAGATCTGGATGTGTGTCGGGGGGTGACTCAGGAGGACAGCCACGGGGCAGTGGCGAGGCCTGCGTTGTGCTGGTCCAGTGTTGGGTGAGTGGTCTGGCCTCCCATGCAGGGGCTAAGCAGCCCCTGCAGGGGAGGTGGTAGAACTGCAGGCTCATAGAGGATGCCAAGAACAAACCGCTCACCACTCCACAGGTGCTGACAGGAGCGGCAAGACTCGGGATCACAGCACACAGGCCTCACACGGCAGCATCAGGTCCCTGCCCTGTGTTCCAGGGGGATGTGATGGGCTGCATGCAAGGTGGGTCGTATCACAGTTGAGGGACTTGGGGCCCTGGGGCAAGCAGCAGACACAGAAGTCTCTCCTCACAGGAGTGGGCAGTCGATGGTGGGCCCCCTGGGTCCCCTTGACTTGCCTAGTGGCAGTCGTCATGGCGACAGAAAGCACTCGGCCTCAGACAGTCAGCCCTGCAATCCAGCCGTTCAGCAAGGACACACAGGGTGCATGGGGGCCCCCCGCCGATAGCTTCCCTGGAGACAATCCTACCCTCAGCCAAACTCAAATTGTCACAGGTCGGAGGGGCTGACAGGGGCTGGGCCACTCCTGCTCAGTGTGTCCCACACTTGCTCGATAGTCCACTTGCGGGGTGAGGCGACCCGCAGAACTGACCGCTGCCATGCTCCCGTGATGCTAACTCAGACCCTCACGAGTCCCAGGTGGGGTGCAGGTCGCATCTCCAATGACCCTTAGCTTCTTTTCTGAGGGCCTGACAGTGGTATCAACCTAAACATGGGAGGAGACGCTCCTCCCCACTCAGCCAAGGCAGGCTCAAGCTGGCCATCTGTTGCCATTGTGACCCACCCAGGTGCTGACTTGGGCTGGGCCGTCTCACCAGCCTGGTAGACGGGATTCTGACCATTGTCTCTGGGCATGAAGACAGGAGTCTTTCCCCCACCCAGGACAACCTGGGGGTCCAATGAGAGCACGCGGTTGGGGATGCGGGTTAAGTGGCAATAATCAGAGGTGATGATGGCTGGAAGGTAGCCCCATTCCCCCATGCAGAGGCATCTGAGGCCCACCATCCCCACATCCGAACAGGTGGCCCAGCTTGAATCTGGTTTGGATCTCCAGCACGTGGGTTTGCTTAAACATGGGAGCAGTGCCACTGAGCATTTGCCGCCTCAATTGCTGCATGTAGCTTAACCCAAGACCACTTGGGCATGAATCAAAAAATAAGTTCCAAGAGGAATTTTTAAAAAAGAATTTGAACTAAATTAAAATGAAAACACAGCTTACCAAAATTTTTGGGATGTAGTGAAAGCAGCACTTAGAAGGAAATCTATAGTATAAATGCATATATTAGAAAAAAAGACCTAAAATCAATAATGTAAAATTCTTATTTAGGAAACTAGAGAAAGAAAGGTAATATAAACCAAAAGAAAACAATATAAAAGAAATGATATAAACTAAAACAGAAATCAAGGAAATTGAAAATAGGAAATCAATTTTAAAAAAACGAAACAATGAACCAAAAGCTGGTTATCTGAGGGAAAAAAAGTAAATAAGATTGATAAACTTCTAGGAAGGTTAACCAGAAATAAAAAGAGAAAACAGAGATTACTACAATGAGAAATGAAAGAGTGAAAGAGGGGCCATCACTACAGTTTCCACAGACATTAAGGGTTTAATAAAGGAATACTATGAACAACTTTATGCCCACAAATTTGATAACGCAGATGAAATGGACAAATTCCTTGCAAGACACAGACTACCAAAACTCACACAAGGAGAAATAAACTAAATAGGTCTGTATCTATTAAAGAAATTGAATCAACAATTAATAATCTTCCAAACAAGAAAGCCCTAGGCCCAGATGGTTCCACTGGTGAATTGTACCAAACATTTAAGGAAGAAATGATACCAATTCTCTGTAATCTTTTCCAGAAAATAGAAAGAGAGAGAATGCTTCCTAACTCATTCTGAGGCCAGCATTAACCTAATAAAACCAAAAGCAGATAAAGACATAAGAAGAAAGGAAAACTATAGATCCATATCTCTCATGAATAGAACTGCAAAAATTCTCAACAAACTATTAGCAAATTAAATCCAACAATTAATTATACACCACAAAACAATTACATACTACTACCAAGTGGGATTTATTCCAGGTGTGCAAAGCTGATTCAATATTTTTAAAATCAATTAATGTAACCTATCACATCTACAGGCTAAGAAAGAAAAATAATATGATCTTATCAATTGATGCAGAAAAGAGTTTGACAAAACCCAACACCAATTCATAATTAAAATTCTCGGGACTTCCGTGGTGGCGCAGTGGTTAAGAATCTGCCTGCCAATGCAGGGGACACGGGTTCAAGCCCTGGTCCAGGAAGATCCCACATGCAGCAGAGCAACTAAGAAGCCCGCGTGCCACAACTACTGAGCCCATGTGCCACAACTTCTGAAGCCCACGTGCCTAGAGCCCGTGCTCCGCAACAAGAGAACCCCCTGCTCGCCACAACCAGAGAAAACCCATGCGCAGCAACGAAGACCCAACGCAGCTATAAATAAATAAATAAATAATAAAATTTTTAAATTAATTAATTAATTAAAAAAAATTCTCAACAAAATGGGAATGGAGGGGAATTTCCTCAACTTGATCAAGATCATCTACCAAAAAGTGCACCACTGACATCATACTTAGTTGTGAGAAACCAGATGTTTTCCCCTTAAGATCAGGCACAGGCAAGGATGTCCCCTCTCATTACTCCCATTCAACATCATACTAGAAATCCAGGATAATGAAATAAGACAAGAAATAAAATATACACAGATAGGGCAAGAAGAAA